GATGAACACAGTTTTGTTGGGGAAGTGTCAGTGTGTCTTCTGCTTCATTAACCTGCTGGAATTGCAGAAGGGTGACAGTAACTGTGTGGATAAAATCTGATCTGTATTTTCCAATTGCCTTTGACAAGGCTCCACATGAAAGGTTATAAAGAAATTCCATTCCTGCGGGATTGGAGGAAAGGTCCTTTTAGCAACACAGAACCAGTTAAAACAGAGGAAACAGAGGGTAGTGCTTACATGCCACTTTCAGGATGGAAAATTGGAATCAGACTGCAGAAACTGTTAGGCTTGTGCTCTCTCCTGAGTAGCATCTGCTTTTGCCTCAGCTGGAGGCTGAGCACTGGTGATGGATGGACATAGCACTGGTCTAACCCAGTTGGGCATTTCTAGCATTTATACAAGCCAGTCATTGACTTGTATGGGTTCAGTCTTGTATTACACATTGTAATTTCTTGTCTAGGCTTGCCTGAAATATTTCCAGCTTAGATTTATCATAACTTGAGTTTGAGACTATTTCACAGACAAATGAGTTTATTTAGAAGCGCTTCAAATATTCAGACTATAAAGCTACCCCTTATTGCATGTCATTTATTTACTTCTGTATGTCTTTCATCACTCTAAAAAAATCTTTATGTAAAAGTTAACTCTTTTTAAAAATCTTGTACAATTATCATTGTATGCTAGTCACATAGTGTGTAGGGAGGCAGTATGTATGTACATACATGTGTAAACATGTTCATTCAAATAATGTTTTTAAAGTTTAAAAATAACATGTTCAGAAGATAGAGATTCAGGCGAGAAGGATTCTAAAATATCCTTAATTCACTCCCTTTTATTCATGTAATGTTGAATACAGTCTTTAATTACGTAAACAGAGAATGTTTTTTTTAAAGAAGCATTTTGTCATTCAGTGCAGAAAGTGAATGTGCTGTGAGGAGTTAGGACAACGTGGAGGTAAAGGCCACTGTAGTCTGTGTTATAGAAATTGATGATGACTGAGGCATGGAGAATGAAAGAAAAGCAAAGAAAGTCAACCTGTAGAGGAAGCTGAGTCATCCTCAAAATAGCTGGAGACTTATGTGTCATGCAAAGCAAGTTACTTTGACTTTTCTCATTTCTCTCTTTCTCTGTACTTCATGTGAGACTGTGGGATATGAATTGCAATGTTTAGAGTTACAGATGAGTCAGAGATGCATGAAACATATAATGTGCTTTAAAATACTGTGTATACTGAAAGACCCTTTTTTTAAAAACCCTTTCCTTAAGTTAGCAGGTATTTTGGCCCAATTTTCTTTGTGCCTTATCTCAGAGGGATTTTGTAAAGTGTAAATTTCCTGTGAAGCAGTTAGGTGCTGCTGTTCAGAGTACAGCAGAAAAGACTGGGAGGAAATTAGCAACCTAACTTTAGAACAGAGCTAGAATAATGTGTATTTGTATAGGATATGAGGTTATATTTTAAGCAAAATCTGCATATTAAGTGACTGCCCTCTGTTCTGTGTGCTGTAGGATCCTAGGCTAAAATAGGTGGGGATCTTATTGCTAAAACAGTACACAACTATATAATTAAAGATTGTGTGGAAAACACAAGTGAAAATGAACTGTTGAAATTAATGTCTTTCATTCTAGGATTTCTCAATTTTACTTTGAAACTTTAGCATTGGTATCCTGGCAACTTTATTTGTATGCAGTTTTAATAAAATGACAAACAGCAATTCTGGTGTTTTGTTGTAAAGACCTTAGCTAGTTGATATTACAGAATAAACTATAGTAGTAATACAGTAGTAGATCAGGGCTGGAAAAGGGGAGGAGAGATTTTGTTAATAAGTTTCTCAAATAGTTGCTGGAAAAAGAGAAATGATAAGATATATCTACACAAGGTTAGCTGGTGGTTTCCCCTGAGACCAAATACTTACTTGCCCTCTTAACAGGATTCCACCTTCTACAAGTCTCCTTTTCACCTCAGGCATTCCTTACCTAAAAAGGACCATCTAAATTTTCTTAGTGTATGTTACAACCAACATTATATGTGAATTGTTGTAGATACAGATTTATAAATTTTAATCAGCTGTTGTACAAATTACTCTTACGTTTGAAGTATTCTAACTGTTGTCAAGTTAGAACTAATTCCTGGGTGTTTACAACACTTTCCCTAATATATTGCTATGGTTTTGGTTTAATTTTTTAATGGTTTTAGTGGTGTCTATGTGATTGTTCTGTAGTTCTTACTTTTTTATTTCCTTTTTTGTAGACTGAATCTTGAGGAAGAATTGGATCAGATGAAAGTACTCCAGTCTGTGGGTAAGTTCACAATACAGAAGTTTAACTATGTTTACAATAAATAAGGGAAGGTATAGTATTTTATATGTGCATATGTAGTCTATTGGAAATATTAATTTTAAGGTTATTTTCTCTCCATTTCTTAATTTCTTTTTTGAATATGTATTTTGTAAGCATAAGGCCATAAATATTTTTATTTCAAAGTACGTTTACCCTTAAGATCTCCACATACCTATTAAATCAATGGCAATTTTAGTGTATAGATATACACTAATATATGTTTGCAACTTATGTGTATATACTACATATAAAATTGTTTTATGTCTAAAATATCTATGTGTATGTATATAAATATATATGTGTAAAATCTAAAACATATTTATATGGTTATGAAGCTTTGTCCAGGATCTGAAATGGTTTTTGCAGTATTGACATACAATGATACAGAAATTTCATGCTCATTGAGATTTCTTTTTTAATACTAGTCTCGCAGAGTATGTGAATTTGAAAGTAAATAAAAATGGAGGAACTCTTATAAGAAATGATCATGAATATCTTCTTTTATATCTTTACAATCTTTACAATAGTTGATGGTTCTGTGAAGATGGGTCTTTGTCAGTCAGACATTTCCTCTCCATCACTTCTCTGACTCTTTATATTACTAGCTGTTCCTGAATGGTCTTGGAGAAGAGTTCAAAAGTGCATAGTTATAGTCCAGCTGAGTGTCACATCTGTGGTGAATTCTTTATGCACAGTATTGTGCAAAGGAAGGGAGTAGAAGACTTGGAGAAGTATTTTACATGTTCTTAGCAATAAAGCCTGACCATTCTTTATCCCAGTTTTCTGCTGGTCGCTGTTTTCCTAGAATCATAGAATACTAGGTTGGAAGGGACATCAAGGATCATCTGGTCCAACCTTTCTTGGACCAGATTTCTTTTTTTGCTATTATGTTGGCCACTTGAATGTAAAAATAAAGTGTTTTTTTTCCCCCTTTTTCAAAATTTTTTTTATAGTACCTATAAAACTAAGTGGAAATACTCAGCTGCTGAAGACTGAAAGTTTCGGTTTTCTTTCATGCTACTTCTTATGTGTTATTTTCATAGCCCCAGATAGTGCTGAAAGGAACTAGTGAAGGTTTCAGATACTGACTTTAAAAATCACTTCTTTGTTTTTGCCAATTTAGTCAGTCTTTGCACAGAGAGAAGTGGAAAGGCAACCAGCAGTGAGAAGGAGTTGAGGGCCTGCTGAGCAATAACCATGTGTTTCCAAAAAACAGTCAGATCCCTGAAACTGCCAGTTCTTGACATGTTTAGTGCTTTAACAATTAGTCTATTATTCCTTCTTTTTTCATTGTCTTTTCAGATTAAAACATACCCTCTTTTGAAAGTGTGTGTGTGGTTACATACTTCTAGTTTGGTTATTGGTATGATGATTAATTGTTATATTGGGACTGAGAAAAAGGGTTAAACTACTAGTGAAGTGTGTTAGGCAAATTTTATTTACCTTTTCCAGCATTGTTGTTATAGGTATCATTTAGATGGACAGGAATTTTTTTATAAGATTCAAAATGAAGTCCAAAGATAGGTATTAAGCAGCACTTTTTGTTAGCACATAAGACTGAGCTGATTCCAGCCATTTCCTAACTTTTACCAATTGAAGTACAAAAAAATAGTTGCTCACCCAGCCTATAAAAAGTAACTCCCTTGTTGTTCCCCTTGCAAGTCCTACGATACTGCAGTGTGGTGGACACTTTTATCAATTGGTTGACATTTTCTACAAGACTACACCATAGCTACTGAAGCTGGATATCCATCTCTGAGCATAAATGAGTGTATGCGAGCAATCCTTGCTCATGAGCTAAGAAAGTGTGTACACCCTCTGCCCTAAAATGGGTGTTAAATGCCTTCCTCTTCCCAAGCAAAAGTACAACCTCAGGTCTGTTATCTGCAATTTGCTGAGAGTCCAAACTTGAAATGACCTAAATACACTTTGTTCACAGTCTTAATAAGTATGTTTTCTTTTCTAAAAGGAAACCTGACATAAATTTACTCAGCTTATCAATGATTTTGGAATTCACTTTCATTAGCATGTTTCACCTGTTTCCATCAGGCATTCTAACAGCAAGGGATAAATTCTGAAAAAAGTGCCTGAGCTTCACTGTATTAAAGAAGATATGTTCTATCCTCTTGCTTGATTAGATAGCAGTTGTGTTTGTCAGGAGGAAGTACTGGATAGTTTTGTTGCTCTTCTGTATGATTTTTCAAACCCTGCTGGTAAAAGATGAAAGAGGTCAGGGGAAAAGGAAACTCTGCTCTCACCATTCCCAATTTCTTTCCATTCCAATTCAGTTGTCCAAGGTGTCTCTTCTGTCATTGACAATGATTTTCCAATAGTCATCAATTCCAAATTCACTGTTCATGCTATTTATGTCATTATTTGTGAATGAATGTAAAGAATGTGTTGGCAGGTACTCATGCCATTTCCTCCAAAAGCAGGAAAGTGGGTCCATTTAATCTAATTCAGAAAATTAGCAAGTGCCTTATTAAAAGAAGATAAACTATTGGCCTCCTATTTCTTCAGGGAGGCAGTTTGAAGGCTTTTTTTGTTACGATATTTGTTCTGAATCTACCATGTCCCGCCCAGCTCATGTGTGAAATGGAATTCCCGTCTTCTGGTCTTCACAGTGGTTTTTCCCACCGACTGTTTCAGACTTAGCACATCTTTGGGAGCCTGGGTGGCCACCACTGGAGTCAGTGACACAGTGGCTTTCTGCACCACAGCACCTTCTGCCTATCAGGGGAATTCTTCACCTGGTGCATACCGGAGGCAAAACGTCATTCTTTTGATGGTTCGTGTAAATACTCTATGAGTGACTAATACACAGCTCTATTTTTTTTTTTAACTGATAGTTTTTTCTCTGTATAAGAAGGCTTTCTACACATACTAATAATGAACGCTAGTATCATAGTTCAAGTACCATTTTGGCAGCTATGTTGAACTCACTCATCATCAGATTTGGTGTCTATTAATTAGGACTTAAATGTTATGTTCTAAAGCGGGCAATTAACCGTGTTTTCTGGGAGATAAGTATACTTCTGTAAGACCATGGTAATTTGATGACTGAGGATAGTGGGGTTTATCACTTGTGGGTCTATTCCTTGAGGGAGAACTTGGTATTTTTTTTATGTTAGGAGTATGATGGGTAGAGTGTATGTCTTGCTGAGTAGACTGATATGATGAATCTTTCTGCTATCACAGACAGACAGACAGTTACAGACAATGCTTTTTCATTGCCTCTCTAACCGATTCCTGTGAACAATTACATAACAATTAGAACAGAGGAGGAGAGAAGGGGGCTGAACAGGCCATTTATCTTCTGCGCAATAGAAAGGGTTATGCATCAGTGACCTTGGCTTTTCTTTAATTTATGTTGCTTGTGACTTCTGTGATAATACTGAATATATACAGTCTTTTCTATTTTGCAATAGTATTCTTTATTTGCACATATCATATGCTTATTTATAGATAGTGTTTTAAATTGTATTTTAATACATCCACATAATAAATATAACACCTTGTGTGCTTTGATCCATTGCTTTGACTATGGGAAATAATTTTTCAGTGGAGTGCTTTTCAGTGGAGTACAGTAAATGCTGATATAAAAGCTACAGCAGACATTCAAATGAGTGAATATTTAGAAAAAGATGAAAAGCATGTTCATATTATCTTTGTGTGTTACTTAAAGAAACTTGTAAATGTATGCAGTACCACTGTGCTGGGGGACTGTAGTCTGAAATAACATGGGAACTAACATATTAATATCAAGGTAAAGGTACATATTCCCCAGATGCATAGTTTTACCTTTTTCAGCTTTTATTATCTTTAGAATAGTGTTCCATTTATTTCATGAATACAGAAGTATTAATTGGCCATGACATGTTCCAAAGACAAAAGAAAGGTCTAATTCACTCTAACAAACTTGTTAGTCACTGTTTATATCAAGAGGATTGTGAATCTACAGAGAGTAACACTGTTTTCTTCTACACTTGCTTTGTTTATAAATCAAAAGTTTTTAAGTGACCTGCAGTGTCTGCTTGTAGTTTGAAATGATACTTCTAAAGGAGACCTCCACCATGTAGCACAGATATTTATCCCTTAAGATTAATTCTTTAAGTTAATTTGTGGGGAAGAAGGGCAGGAAAAGAAATGTGAATGTTGGGATTTTTTGTTCTTTAACATAATATTTCATATTCTAAAAAAAAGTCCTTCTGAGGTGTGCAATTTCTCATTTCTGTGAGCAGTGGGCAATTTGTGAATGCTAAGCTCTTCCTTCAAATCCAAACAAAATGTATTTTACTTCTGATTTACCATACGTATTAGTACTTCTGAACTTTTTCATAGCATTCTTCTCTATGAATAGATCTAATTTTTAACTTGTCCTTTTTTTGTGTGATTTTTAGTACCTAAAGTGCACGGCTGTCTCTGAGAGTGATGCTTAGAGTCATGTTCACTCTCATTAGTTGTATCAATTTTTAATTGTTATGAATTCAGAGTATTACAATGGAATGATTTGTGTGATTTATCTCGTGAAGTACATGATCCTTCACTTAACAAAAAAAGAGGTTTAAAGTTTTCATCCATCCTAATTCTGTTACTGTTTGCTTTGTTCACCAATCACTCTGATCCTCCTAGCAGGGGACAAGACCTAGAGAACAAAACTCATAGTGACTGTGTAGATAAAAAGGCAATGAATTCTGCTTTTAAGGCAGAGAGGGAATAGTCTATAAAAGAATAAAAATCGGAATGAAAGTACAACGTCTTTAACCTGCAGATCTATTGTACCTTTGAAAAGCTTGTACTCTGAAAAAAACCACACTGTGATGCTACAAAGATTCATAATTATGTGACAGAACACTTTGAAAAGAGATCACTGTTTAGAAACGGACCAAAAGGCCCATCAAGAAAATAGATCACATTATAAATAATTGTGGAAGTAAAGAAAGCATTTTCTTAAAATGTCAAGGTATTGTTTTAGCAAAATACTAGGTGTCACAATGTATTTTATTTATTCTCTGATAGAGATGTATTATTTATTTCCTGATAGAACCACTTTTTAAATTTAGTGAAGACAATGGGGTCAAGAGCAGTACTCCAAAGAGAAATATGAAAGAAGTTTCACATCAGACATTACAGAAGGTAAGATACCAACTGCAGCAAGATCTAAATTTTCATATAAAAATCATATAGATATATAAATCAGTACTCATGAATTTAGGCCATAATTTTCCTTTCCTAATTTAAAAATGTGGATTTCCAAAATTGTGTCAGAAATGAATTCTAGTGAAGTATCTGTGAATGTATCATGTGAGCTAAACATGGTTAATGTCAGAGAAAATTAAAAGAATGTTTAGAGGTATAATGTTAAAAACTGACAAATTATCTATATTGGAAGTAACATATGCTTAGCTTTTGACCACTTTTAAGTTCAGAAACCCTCATTTATTTTGCTGAATATTTAACTTTACATGATATCAGGTGTTAATCTCCATAGAGCTCTTGCTACAGAATAAAGTTGGTGCATAATAGTGATAAATCTACCTTTTGTTGTATTTGAATTTTAGCACAACATTGCATATGCAAATATTTTTTACATATATGGGTTTATCACTCTTTTCACAAGATAATACTATATGCATTTAGTGTTCTTTGGCTTAGCAAATATGATGAGCATTTAATCTTTACTGCTCAACATTCTACATGTTTTACCTCATACAGTAACAAGATGTTCTTAACTAGTTGCTATTTGTATTGATATTTGTAATATACACAAGTAGTTTAGTATGTTAACAGGTGTTCACTTAAGAGGGCTCACTTGTATTTTACCATATGTTTTGTATGCTGCAAAGAAAAGACATCCTTCAAACAGTATCATGCCTTTTGTTCGTCATTTTGAAAAACAATAGTTGTTTAATTACTTATAAATCTTTAAAAGCTTGCTTAAATTGAATAAACACAAATCTATAACTTTGAATGTCAGTTCAGGTATGTCTATTTATTTTTTATTTGTGAATTAACTTGTAGGAAGTATGGTAATTTGCAGCAGATGATGTGATTGCATATACTTGTAACACTTGCCATATGGTCAGGCAATGAAGGCTGTCATCTCGTTATTACTGAATGACAAACATCATGTTAAAATAATAACACACAGAATAGGAAGTGCTCACATTCATTTATCTTAAGGTAGAGTGAGTAATTGAAATAATATGAACGCTACCATCTGAAATGTCACACAGTTTATGCTTGCTTATCATCTATATTTCAAAACTATAATTTTGTTTGCCAGGTACTACTTAATTTTTATCTCTATGGATTTACAGAGTTGTGATGGTACCTTAGGGATAGGTGTAGAAGCTATTCATTGTTTGTTTCGTTCCACCTGTCATACATGACTTTAAGTGCTAGTAAGTGCAAAAGGTTGTGTTAAAGAACTGAGAAAATAACAGCAGTATCTCAGTTTAGGAAGATGGTTGAAGAAAGGTACTGGTCTATCATTGGGAGGAAAGTAAAAACTATGATTTTAATCATAAACCTTGATTTCATTGAAGCATTTGGAAAAATCTTTTTTATTTCTAACTTCACCCAATAACTTTATGTAGCCATAAGGCAATTTCTTTTCATTGTGGGAACGTTATGAATTTCCATAATGGAAGGTAGTGATGGATAGGCATCCATATTAAAGGTTTTCTATCAAACTCAAAATTCAATATCAAATTCACAAATGTATATGATGTTTGAGCAGCTCTTGCCCTAATTTACTCTATACATTAAAACTTCTCATTTATCTGAATCAAATCTGTAGTACCCACTTTGTAAATCATTTCATAACTTTTAAAATAATTTAAATACATTGGCAAAGTGTCCTTGCAAAAACATATAGCATTTATAGTTTCAATTTTTTCAATGCCAAAGCAAGCTTTGACATTTCATATTGCCACAAAGTGATGGAATTGGCCAGTAATTTACAAGGTGAGTGAAGTTGGCCATGTACATGCTACTATAGCTCCTTGAAAAGTAGTCTTTTCTACCCGTGTCCAGAAAAATCTAGAGTACTTGGTACTTCCCCTAGTGAAAGAGTGGGGTTGGAGCTTGTACAAAACCAACCTGAAATATAAGTGACTAAGTGTTTACGGAGTACAAAACTCACTCTGATGCCCTTTGCAGGCTACTGGGGAAATCTCACAGACTAGGTGTTCATTTTAGTATCTGCTAAAATTTAAATTTCCCTGAGAATCAGTTTATTGTTAATGGCCTTGAAGATGTATAAAACTCAAAGGACTTTACAAACAAAGCATATCCATCCTATATACGTAGAATATACTTCTTCAAACTATATACAAGAAACTTGTAAAGTGGCTTCATTGGAATAGGATGGATATTCCATTTCTGGGAATAGAAAATACGTTTCACCCTTCATATTCTTTAGGTACTGAGCTTATGATATCTTTTGCTATGATTTGTTTGGGGTTTTAGAAAGATCAAAGTAATATTTAATTTGTGTATTTACAACACTTGAAAGAACTTGTTGATTTAGATAGCTAGTGCAAATTTGTCTATATTTCAAATTAGTTTTCCTTCTGAAATTTTTTTTTTAAATTCAATTAGTATGTATAACCAAATCAGTAATGAGCTCAAGATGCATCAGGAAGGTTCATTAGCATACTTAAACTTCTGTGTCACTTTGCCTGGAATTTTAACTTCTTTTACCATCTGCCCTTTGTTCAACAGCTGTATTATTGCAGCTAAAATGTTTTCATCTGTACTACGTTAGAATTATTTTTAAATTAAGGACCATAGATTGCTTTTGTCCTTGTGCTTAATGTAATATTATTGCCATATAATAAATACATTTGAAAATATAGGCTTTTTTCTACTGGATAGGCTGAAATATTATGAACGCTAAAATTGCTTTTGTTAGGTACAGCAACTAGAAAGAAGATTCAAAGCTATTGAAGGGGAATTAAAGAAACAGAAAGAAGTAAATAAAGACTTATTGAAGGAGAAAAATGATTTGAAAGCATCTTTAAAAGTGCAAAAGGAAAATGCAGACACAAGAGAAAGAGAGCTGGAAACGCTACTTAAGAGGATTTGTGAAATAAAAAAAGACAAAGCAGAACTTCAGTTAGTGATTGATGAGCAGGAAAAAGAAGCTGCCTCTTTGAAGAGGCAAGTGGCAGAAGCTAACAGGTTGGGAAATGAAAATGAAGATTTGCTGAGTCAAGTGCAGAAGCTGAAGTGTTCACTGGATGAAGCCAAAGCAGTGGCAACCTCTGGGCAATGTAATTGCAAGATAACAGGCACCAAGGTTAAATTAAAAACAGCCAAGAAAAAGAGCTCTTTGGGACATCATGGAGCTTTTCTCAAACAGTCCATCAAGGTTATGAGTAATATATTTGAGAACTTCAGTAAGGACGGCTGGGAGGATGTGAGTGAAAGCAGGTACGGCTCTCATTAACTTAGCCCTGTAGAGGGGACACTGTGCATATGTAAAGCACTAGCAAATGGAGATTGAATTTCAACTACTGTTGATTTGGTATTCAAAAAAAATACTGTCAGATCCTTTGAAATATCTTGGGAGGTCTTGTTCTGAGCTTATTGACTGAAATTTGCATGCAAAATTAGCCACAACTGCATGAGTATTTGAATAGGTGCCAGGAAACCCAAAAGAAGGCAATGCTTGATTTCTTCCAGTGATGCTATTTTCATGCAGTCATGAGGCTTGAAATTGACAGTTTGGCAGGTTGATTTAATTTGCTGGCCCTTTGCATATTCACCACTGACAGCTAAGGATTCCCAGGCAAGCCTACTAAGTCGGTTTAGTTATCTTGTGACATGCCGACCCGGGAGGAGAAACATTTTTTCCCCTTAATTTAGTTAGATAAATTTTGAATGACCCATTTCAGCTTGCTAGCAGATGTCTACAAGCTGTTTAACATCCTTTAAATTAAGAACCATCCACACTAATTATTTCATGTATGTTTTATGCACAGTCATTGTACTAACTTTAATTGAATGATGGTTAAAAATCAGTTCTTTAAAGGTAATTGTTACTGCATAGCATCCCAGTCATGAGTCACAAGGCCCTCAGAAAACTGCACTGGCAAGCTTCATAAATGTTCAGAATATTTGCTTCTGCTTCTATTTGTCCACACATACTTGAGGAGGCAGCAGTAAGCCACTAGGTAAATGGGTATTGCACCTTGTCTTTCAATATTTTGTCCTAAGAGACATGCAAAGAAATTTCTCAAACCTGTGTTTATCCAAAGTGTAGAGAAGGTGACAAAAGAGTAAAGAAAATGGAATCATCTTCACAGGCTTCACGTTGGTTTTATACGTCATGTGGAGCAAATCAACAGTGGCAAATTAAGCCCTTCTGCTGCTTTTCCCCTTGCAAAATAGGGGGCTCTTGTACACAGTATTTTGAGAGGGAAAACAAATTAAGAACCATGTAATTTGTCAGTTGCTATCATTAATATAAAGCTTGTTTGTTTTTCTGTTCAATTAAATATTGCAGATCTGATTTTACACAAAACACACGTGGTTTTCTGTTGCAATTAGTGAGCTTTTTATTTAATTTACTGCGTTTTGCTTTTTAAGAACAAAATTGAGCAAACAAATTGTCATTGCAATTTGAATTTGAAGTGAAGTGGAAAGTAATTGTATGGCTTCAGTTGTCGTGGCTATCCATAAATACTATTTTCAATAATTGTACAAGTATCAGGTGAGGGAATTCATGTGGCAGAACAGTGAACATTTTTGAAGGTGATGTTTCAAGGTGTCATTCTCAACAAGTTAGGGAAATATCTTCGTTTAATTCCCTCTTCTACTTATCAATAAATGCTCTCCTTTATCACTAATAGCTGTGTTTGAGTTTCTAGATTCAAGCCTTCTATTTTCTAAATAGACCATTCCTGAAAGCATTCAGGTGAGGGAAATGTGTGCATAGTTAGAAATATCTCTGTGCTACTGCAGCACCTTCAAACTATTACATTGATTTCTGTTCATATCAGTCAATAAGACATACTATACAGATTTTGCAAAGTATAAACATGTTTCTGTATCAACTCTTCTCTTCAATTTGAGATCTTTTCTCTGGTTAAGTAGCCTCCATCTCTAAACCATTGATTTTTATAATGGTGTGTTGTGCGCTGACCCTGGCTGGAGGCCCAGTGCCCCCCAAAGCCGCTCTTTCACTGCCCTCCTCAGTTGGACAGTTGAGAGAAAATATAACAAAAGGTTCATGGGTTGAGATGAGGACAGGGAAAGATCACTCACCAATTACCGTCATGGGCAAAACAGACTTGACTTGGGGAAAATTAGTTAAATTTATTGCCAATCAAATCAGAGTAGGGTAATGAAAAAATAAAAAGAAATCTTAAAACACCTCCCCCCTCCTCCCTTCTTCCCGGCTCAACTTCACTCCCAATTTCTCTCCGTCCTCCCCACCAGTGGCACAGGGGGATGGGGAATGGGGGTTGTGGTCAGTTCATCACATGTTGTCTCTGCCGCTTCTTCATCCTCAGGGGAGGACTCCTCACACTCTTCCCCTGCTCCAGCGTGGGGTCCCTCCCACAGGAGACAGTCCTCCACCAACTTCTCCAACGTCCGTCCTTCCCACAGGCTGCAGTTCTTCACAAACTGCTCCAATGTGGGTCCCTTCCATGGGGTGCAGACCTTCAGGAACAGACTGCTCCAGTGTGGATCCCCCACGGGGTCACAAGTCCTGCCAGCAAACCTGCTCCAGTGTGGGCTCCTCTCTCCATGGGGCCACAGGTCCTGCCAGGAGCTTGCTCCAGCGTGGGCTTCGCACGGGGTCACAGCCTCTTTCGGGTGCCTCTACCTGCTCCAGCATGGGGTCCTCCATGCCTCCATAGCAGGTGGATATCTGCTAACCATGGACCTCCATGGGCTGCAGGGGGACAGCCTGCCTCACCATGGTCTTCTCCACGGGCTGCAAGGGAATCTCTGCTCCGGCACCTGGAGCACCTCCTCCCCCTCCTTCTGCACTGACCTGGGTGTCTGCAGAGTTTCTCACATCTTCTCACTCCTCTCTCTGGCTGCAAAAGCTGTTGCTCCTTTTTTTCCCCCCCTTCTTAACTCTGTTATCCCAGAGGAACTACCACTGTCACTGATTGGCCCGGCCTTTGGCTCGGCCTTGGCCAGCGGCGGGTTTATCTTGGAGCCGTCTGGCATTGGCTCTATCAGACATGGGGGAAGCTTCTAGCAGCTTCTCACAGAAGCCCCCCTGCTACCAAAACTTTGCCATGCAAACCCAAAACAAAGTGCAACTTAATTTGAACTCAGTTGTGCCTTTTAAAATATCTTGGTTTAAAAAGTAAGAAATCAAATTTACCTTCACAAATCTGCACAATTGGTGATGAATAGCCACTGACTGCATAGAAAATGATATATCCAAGACCTCCTGTTTTAAGATAGACTTCACTGAATACCAGAAATCAAACTGGAAATTAAGAGCACACTGAGTGCAAGTTTAAGGAAATATTTGAAGTAGAATGAAAGTTTCGGGTCCAGTTTCTTTGCATGGCAGGCAATTTCAGTAGAAGGACTGCCAAGTTTAGAGAATTTAAAACCACTCCAAAGGGGTGCTAGGCAGAGATTTCACTGAAGTGTGATTTCTGAGTTTATCTCAGTCAACACTACAAATAAAGTTCAATTGGAACAAAATGTTATTGAGTGAAGTCTTGTGCATTTGTTTGTTTTGTTATCAAATGTGAAAATGAAGGAAAGTAGAAACATAGTATATCTTTGTGAGCCATTCATAGACGCAAAGTACTATCAAGTAGTTTTTCATGTATGTCACTTTTGTAGGCTGTAACAAAAGCTGTCCTTTAAGAAGCAGTCAAAGTCTCAGACCTCTGTTTATTGTAGAGTGAGATTCCATTTGACAGAGTAGAACCTGATAAGACAATTTCAGAGGTTTCTTCTTTATGATATTTTTAAACATCTGTTGAATAAGTCAACTTCGTACTGTTTGGATTTTACATCAGTTTCTCTTCTTTCTTGCATGTGTTATTTTCTATGTGCTCAAGCATTGGCTTGAGCTTTTAACTCAGCCTTTTAACGTTCAGCTTTATTTTGTTTTGTTTTCCTGAATGTGCTGTTTCAGTGACTCTGAAATACCAACTTCAGAAAGTTTGGAAACAGTGATTATGAAGACAGTGCAAAACATTGATCCACTGCCAGACAGAAGTAAACAACAGGGAAAAAAGCAAATACAAGATAGTCAAAAGCCCTGCAACGTTGTTCATTTAGAAGGCAAAAAACAGCACTATAATAAAAAGGTACATAATAATACTTGTTTTGTTTTCCTGTGTAAAGTGTTGAAGTTTAATAGTTCGTATTATCACTGCTATTCCTCTCTTAATTAATTTGACTCTTCTAGTAAACTGAAAAGTTGCTTCCAGATATTCAGTGAGTAGTTTCATTATCATTAGAATATTTTCTGAACAATTAGTCTGCAAAAGTATTTGGAGAGGGTGTCAGGAGTGCAAAAGCTGATTAAAAAATGTAAAGCTGCTGTAAGCTAGTCCTGCTGTCTCACAATCCAGACAAAGAATGCTGCAGACACCCCATTAAACTCTGTCTCAATCAGAAAAGCCATACACAGCAGGGTGACCTATCCCATAACAAGGAAGGAGCAATATCCCCTCCTCCCCTCTAGCAAAATGGTGCGCTGACAAATCAAGCATGACCACGTCTCAGTTCATTTGGTGTGCATCTCTGTCTTAGGAAGGTGCTTTTGGCTCTGTCTCTGTCCAGGAGATTCTATCTAGAGAAAAGTGTGCTTTTAGCTTCTTAGCCCATTTACATTCATTGTCTGGGATGTGAAACCCTTGTCTCATTCCTAACATCTATATGCTGTTTTCTCACAGAAGAGGGCCAGCTGGTCATTTCCCAGGTCTTTAGAGGCTTCATACAATCTGTAACAGATGACTCATTTTTGGACTTTTGAACAGTGTCTAGTACTTTTTCCCTCCTGTGTTTGCCCAAATAAATCACTTCATGGATTTTTTTTTAAAAAAAGCAGATATCGTTGTTCCTTAGGTCAAGAAACACTGAATACTGAAATACTGAACAACTTGCTGCTGTTAGAAATCTAGTTTGAAATTCTGTTATGTATGGTGATACAATAAAGAGTTTGAAAACACATTTTCTTAAAATCCAAAATTTTAAAGCAAATACAAACTCTCTGGTATTGTTATATATTCTTGATTGTGTATTTCCATCAAAAGGTCTGTTTTTCTGGCAGAAAATCTGAACAAAAGGGAAATTCTTCTGCAACCATCTGTTGGTATGGAATACACAGTATGAGCATGTGCACATGATGTATGTGAAAATCTGACAGAGTGTGCTGCTCCTGTTACGTCCTGCTGCTCCTAAGCAAGGATATACAAGCCAAGAAATCCAAGAGGTTCTGGTCACTCTTGCTTGGTAGTGTAGACACAGCCAGTACCTCTCCTGTTTGCCTATATTGCATTTACTGTCTGTTCCCACTGGAAAAGACAAACACAGGTATATTCTTATACATGTATGTAACAGACTGACGGACTTGGACCATATACAGGAAGCATCCCAAGAGCCCTAAGCAGGTAAATATGCTTCAGCAGAAGTCCCCTTTTGCAGGAAAAGCACCTGAAAACATGGTTTGCCAGTACAGAAGATAGCATTGCAAAAAGGCTTAGTACTTGCAATTGGGAACACCAATTTTTACAGAAATCTCAAATGCCTCCTGAGGATTTAAGGACAGTCTAGCTGGGTCATGGTATTCTCATACAAACAGAAGCTAAAGAAATCTCCTAAGTCCAGAGCTATGCCTGGGGTTGGAGATGAGAACTCAGTTTTGCCCCATGTGGTATAAATATATAATAACCTATGCAGTATCAGCAGAATTATTGGCAGTCTCTTACAACTTACGCATTTATCAGAGCTGTGGCCTACAGTGGAGATCTCCATCTTTTCACTGCAAGCATGGATCATTTGCTCATCATCTGCTGAGAGCTCAGTTCTCTGTAACGTATAATCACCATTTCAGACTAGCATCAGTCATCCAATTACATGTCTTCAGTGTTTGTAGGATCCTTTGGTCATACTGATAGGGACTTAGTACTGGTTTCCATTGTTGTCTTTGAGACGTGGAATAAATTAATTAAGAGACTACTTGAAGGAGGCAGACATACAAGAGCTTGACCTCTTTTGTTTTCCCTTGCTTTAGTTTTAATCTGAAAAGTTGGCAATTAATTTTCTTTTCTTTTTTTCTAGCATATCCTATTTTCCTGCCCTTCTAAATTGTGTGTTGATTGTACAAATCTAGAATTCACAGCTAAGCTGTCCTACAATGTCAGTAATTTGTTCAGTGTAGTTAATAGATAATCCGTTGCTGTTTACTCTTTTAAATTTGATGCAGCTATTTTAGTTACCAACATTTCCAGAAATATTTTGCATGATATCACACAGAAATTGCAAACTGAAGACTTTAAAAACTGGATAAATATTACAGAATTCCAGAACAAAAAGCGTTTCAAAATACACTGAACATTTAAGAGCCAGGGAAATAGTACTTTGATTATGGAGTAAGCCATGCTGTGGTCATTTTCATTTTACATATGGCAAGCATCATTCTTCTTGAACATTTGATAGGTTCTGAAAATAGCTGATTTTGCAAATCAGATACTTAAAAGGCACGCAGCTGACTTTTGTTAAACCCTGTACAAACACAGGGATTGTATTTGCATGTTCATATATATTCAGGCATTTTCCAGTTACAGCTCAGTGTCTAATCTGATCATCTTCTTTCTGAACTAATAAGACCGCTATTCCTTTTTATTTTCACTTAAATATCTTGGAAAATGGGATATTGTAGGCTTTCAAGTAATACACACCATCTTTTTTCCCTATGAGTAAATTCATATCTTATCTAAAAAAATAATGTAGGCATTAACAGACACTTCATTTTTCTCTGGGGTTCTTTGGAAAGGGTTATGATTTACCTATAACAGTTCATTATTTCTTCTACATTTGATGGGAAAGACAGAAATTTGTACTCTTTGTTGGCTGATATTGTAAGACTGATTTTCAAACTAAAACTCATAAGAATTTTATGTATTACTTGAAGTAATTTTTGTTGGTTTGGTTCACACTGGAGAACTTTGGAGTATTGTGGTTGATGTGATAGAATGAAGAGTTGCAAACTTTGTGCTTCTGGTTTTTATTTAGGGCCATTCACAGAATAAAGACCTGGAAAAGTTACATTCCAAGGGGAGGAAGATCTGCTATCTCATAACATCTTATCCATCAATTCTAAGTAAAGGTAGGAATATTGCTTATTTTTGGCAACTTCATAAGTAAGATTGACAAAGCATTCTTGCCTGATATTCCAAAACATCTTTTGTATTACACAAACCTACTTATGTGCTGTTGCAGAATTTGCTTGTTTAAAGTTGCATGAGTATATTTGCAAAGATTTAGCTCATTATTTTAAAGTGAAATTGACTTATAAAAAGTGACTGGCAAACAGCACAGTCACTTTTAAAAGTGATTGTCTTTTCGCACAGTTAAAATATATTCTCTTTTTACTGAGTCCCACCCATTGAATCTACTGACCAAAATAAGGTTTTTCACTACCTTTTCTTCTTGTTTACTCCTTGTAGCCAACACATCCAGTGAATCAAAATTAACTGTAATTTGGCTTAGACCTTAAAAAAAGCTGTTAACAAGACACTAAAGTCTTTATTTCCGGTAATACTGATCAGAAATTTGAGCCACATTTAACTTCTTGAGTCCTTGTTGAGTTTACAGTATTGGCATTTCAGAAAAAGAACAACATAGAGCACTTATAGATTAACTGAATTAATTTACCAGTTTATTTACTGAGAAATATTTTAGAGGCTAGAACAGGGCCAAAGAAAAATCAGAAATCATCTTATTTATGATGATCTGTCCGTTTACTAACATGCCATTTTATGTTTAGTCAACAGAACAAAAAGGAGAAATCTCATTGTCCAGAAACCGGGCTACTCTGTTACTCTACTGCAGGAAAGAATTAAGGCATTGCAGCAGCAGATAGCTGCTTTACAGAATGAAAAAAAGACAGCAGTGTCTTCTGTGAAGGGATTTAAAGAAACCAATGAAAAACTAACAACTCAGCTACGTTTGGCTGATCAGAGACTTCAAAATAGTAAACTGACCATAGAGGTAAAGTACTTTTCATTATGGCATCTTACTATGTTCAGCTTAATTCTGTTGTAATTCTGTGAAACTTTGATAACATTGATTATTGTCACTTAGTTCGTTATGATCAAAATTATGAAATGTTATATATTAGCATGCTTTATATGAGATTCTGAATCAGTTATGTACAAATGATATTGAGGCCTGATTTAATATTGTATCAACCCTGCTGAAAATGAAGTGGTCTTCACGCTGACATTTTACCTGCATTCAAATGAGTGAAGGAAGTTTCACTTTTAGCCTGTGGTCTGAGAACTTTCCTGAGAGTCTGGTCAGTCCACATGAACTAGCACGCATTCCTCTGTGAAGAACAGGCACTTCTGGAGAAAACAACTGTATCCATACGCCCCAGCAGTGGAGTGCTCAAGGCAACTGGAGTTTTCTTCCAAAGGGGATTCAGACCAGTTCCATATCTATTTAATCTCATCTCTCTGTCAAGGTGGAAAGCTAGAGAACGAGATTTATACAAATAGAGACTAGTAAACTATTTGGTTAACAGCCCCAAAGATGCCAGCTTTCTTCTCTATTTCAGTCTTCATTCCTACTTAAACCTTTCCCATACTATTACTCCTTTCTGGTTTTCCCCATTCTCATTTATATATATATGTATTTTGTGTTAATCTATATGCAGCTCCTCAGCTGGAATTCTTTTCTATTCATACTGTAGTGATTGGCCTGCCCTTTATAGAGCTGAATCAACAAACACTTTTGCAATAATTGTCTCCTGTTGGTCACACACATATCCTGCTTCCAGAATTATTGTGCTACAACAGATGGACTTGCTGGAAGGAGGCAGACATTAAAAAAGAAATCAAATCCCCTCCCCCTCAAACTTCTCTGCGTTTCTGTCTTTGCACAGAAGGCAGAAGCAGCATCAGGAGCAGCACTTTTCACTTTCTTAGGGCTGGGGAACTGCTAATTTCTAGAGGAGGGAAAACCTCATTTCTGTTATTCATTTTGCATAACTATATATATGTAATGAATTGTTTAAAAAGAGTTTCCAAGGTCATTGGAACCAATGGAGATCTTCCCATCTCACAAACAGTATCATAATGTAAAGTTTCATGGACAGTATAAACTTCGCAGAGTGTTATATGTGTAATTTAGCTAAAATGTTCTGCTTGCTCAGACATCTTCATGATTTGCCTTCCTAGAAGACTACACCTTAGGTGTCTGTAAGAGAGCAGTGTGAGCAATAAAATAAAAAAGGCCATTATTGGAAAACTGTTTAAAAAAAAAAAAAAAGGCAAAATTTGTGTCAAGACAAGTGCTGCTGTACTGTAAAAGACTGCCTAAAAGTGAAACAGTAAGGTCTTAAAACCACACCAGTTTTCTTTCACTCGGTTTTTCTAGAAAGTTAAAAAAAATAAAAAGTTGTCACTGGTCTATTTAAAGGGTGGTGCATTCTAAGCAAAAATAAATAAATGGTGTTTCAGGTACTCAAGAAAAAATCTTTATTAGGCATGCACATTTTTTTCCTTCTCAGCAACCAATTCAAATTCCCTTTCTTACAACTAATTACTCTTCAGGTGCCATACTAGTGCTACCAAGTGGGAAATTTAAAAGCAGAGGCTTGGGCTACTTGCCAAGTGAAAATTAAGGAGGTAAAGAACCTACACAGTCACTGCAGGGAACATGCATGTTTCAGAGAGAGAACCATGATTCAGATAGATCAAACGGTTGTAAAGCACACATTTGTGAAGGGCTTTTGTGGGTTTTTAATAAGAAATACTATCTAGAAGTGAAGTTTTAAGATATTGCAAGGGAAATGACATTTTTAAAAATATTTTTGTCACTAGCAGGAACACTTGTCATTGTTTCTTCTCAATGCTTCTGCTACTTTAGATTTTAGGATTTTCTTGCATAGGTAGATGATAAAAAACAAGCAAACAAACCATGAAAAACTAAAAGATTGAGACCATCTCTGGATTTAGGAAGACTCTTAAACACTTTAGCAGTGTCAAAATGACTAATATAAAAAAATAGGCTTCCATATGTAATCACAAAGTTTGAGTAATGTTATATTAACAGTGAACTTGTGATGCTAGGCTAACATAAGTATAGCATTCTAGCAACTGTAAACATTAACTTTATGGCTTGAACGAGATGCTATGTTGCCTGAATTTTGCTAAGAAAATAAATTCCTTAGCAGACAAGGGCAGATGTTTGTGCAGTCAGTCCTTCCTTATAATCCCCAAGGAATCTAGTGCTAGAAGATCGATTCTGGATTTAAGATTTAAATGTTCCAGATGTTCATTTTGAGACAGATTTTACACAACCTAAGGACTGTCTGGCATCTGTTGATTTTCAGAATGTATGTACTTGTATGGTTTTGTGTATTTTTCTTGAAGATCCACAAAGACATGTGTGTATATATGTAACTATGTATGTATTTGTCTGCTTGTAGGAGTTCAGAATGCTGGATTCAAGTTCTTTTTTTTTGTTTGGCCTTGCAAACTCTTTGTGGTAACATAGATTTCTTGCTTTGTTTTGTTTCTGCAAAAGCAATTATTTGCATATTTCTTCAAAAATGACTGTAAAGTGACTGCACATGTGAGAATCAAAGCTTGCATTCTCCAAGGATTCACATCAACATTGAGTCAAGACCGTCTGTACAGAAGTACAGTAGTTACATTTTGTTATCAGTGTATAGAAATCACAGCTGGAGCTGATGCTTAATGTAGAAGTGAAGGGATTTAACATTTCCTTAGTTTCTTAGAAAAATGTCTGAAAGGAATTGTTGGGAAAATCCAGGAAAATTTATTCTCCCCCCTACTCATTTCCATCACTAAGTGACTGCTTATAAGAAAAGTGTATTTATTGCATACAGCAGAGTAATTATAATAGTTTTATGCAGTAGGTGTAATTCGTATTGCAGAAGTTCAGACAAAGTCTATTGAATAAAAAATTAAAATCTTAAGGAGGTTAGTGCTTATCTTATGTTAAGGTCACTCACAAGTCCACTGCTAAAAATTACTATAGGATCTTTTGCATCAGTTCGCCAGTGTTTCTCAGGTAATGTCACGGGGAAAGCTGTGTTTCTTAATGGAATGCCATAGGCATTTGCAAAGTGCCTATGTAAGTCTACTGCAGCAGGAAACCTGAATCTCAAAGAATTGGAACAAGTCAACCAGTCAAATGCTGACAGATCCTTTGGAGAGGATAATGTGAAGGTTTAAGTAAGTTTTTCAGATGCATAAAAAAAAACTATATTTTTTGGTATGTGGGAAGAAAAAAAGTTTTTTTTTTTTTTTTTTTTTTTTTAGAAGCCTCTGAACAATTTAACTGTAACTCAGCCTAAGATTTTTTTTCTGCTAGCATTCTAAAAATCTCTCCAAACTTTTAGCCATTCAATTTTTAATTTTCTTTGAATTTTAAGGGAACTTTTTTCCCCTGAGCTCATAGTGTGCTTTTAAAATACAGTTTGCTTGCCATGAGTTCGTTTATCTAGTGGATTATCTCAGTCATAGAAAGGTATGAGCATGAAAAGCAGAAGAGTAAAGGGCCAGAGAAAGTTTTTTATTCTTTAAAGTTTGTTTGTGGCTTTTTCTACGTATTCTCCTGACTGTTTTCTACTGCCCAATCTATCAGAGAACAGCTCAGAATCCAGAGTTACGTCTGCAAATTCAGCACTACTGCTTCACTCTTCTTATGGTACCCAAATATGAGTAAACCAGCCAATGTAGCATTTACCCTGCAGTAAGCTAAAACTACTTTTGGAACTGCCTCGCTTTTGCTCATTACCGCAAATGCGTAACTGTTTTGACAGGTTTTGGGGGCTTTCTACATAAACATTGTCCAGTTAGAAATTCTTAGAGTCACATCCAATTCTTTTCTCCCAAAACACTTCTACATGTGTAATGGTTTTCTCCTTTTGACTCCTCTTTCATGGAAATATTTTAGAGCATTTGTGCTTTTTTAAATTACATTCATAAGAAAGCTTCTGCATTCGGTGTCGCCTTTTCTAAATTAAGTGGTTTTTTTTTTTCCTCTGATGGCATGAAAAGATATTATTCATTATGTATATCAGATAATACTAATCATACCTACAGAATATCTGAATGATAAAATTTTATAAAACTTTTTAGAAGAATTAAAATTTGGAAGACTTTAAACATAAATTGTCATTTTTACAGATAAACTGTTCAAGAGATTACTACTGCATCAGTAGTATATGCAGGCATTCTGACTTTCATGTATAGAAGCAGTTAAAAAGCAAAACCAGCTGCTGCTCATATTTTCATAGATAAAAAATAATCTAATAAGAATTCAATTTGGTCTCTTCAACAATATCCCTTTCCATTCTTACAGGGCACACTTAAGTCTTGAACATTTTACTTTTATCCATCTCAAAAATAAAAAATAAAAAATCTAAATATACCCTATTAAACACTTTTGCTAAACTCAGTGCAAAATAATTTCTGCAACTATCAACCTTTGGCACAGAGTGTAATGAAACAAAGAATTCTGTGAAGCTGTTTAGGAAAAGTCTGTTCCCAAAAACATCAGGAGAATTTCTCCCCCCCTCAACTTCTTTAGAAGCGTACAGATTATCCTTTCCTGCTTTGAATGGGTTAGTTTCCAGGAACTATAATCTTTGGGCACAATATTCAAAAAGAAGTGAAAACAGCTTCTCAAAAATATTTAAAAATCAAACCAGCAAATTTTCTATTCTACTTAATATGGAGCAGAAAGGAAAAGGTAAACCAGAAGGGATAAAAGTATGATAAAGCAGGATGTACTGCCTGACCTTTTCAGAGTTTGCAAATACAATCTAAGACAGCAGAGGTTTATCTAATAATTGAACTAAACTATGTGCCAGTATGAGACTGAAGTCTTCTCAAAAATTGATTGGGTGTAAATTCTATGGTTTTTTTCTTCTGAGATCACACAGCTGTTATCATTGTGTATGCATGCCTTGAAGAGACCTCTTTGTGGGCACAGTAGATAATTCAAAACTGAAA